AACACGAACAAGATCTTTTTATCAACACAATGTGCAGTTTAAGATATTCAACAGAAGAAATCCTTCACACAACAGCCAAAGGAGGAAAACACTACCGGTGTTGTTGGTTCCGTCAGTACTGATCACGGGCCCAAGGGACATAATCCACGTCACTGCGTTTCATACGCGCAGGTAGTGCTTTGCTCTCCATTACGAACTAAAAACAAAGCTTCTCGAACTAACGTAGATGTTTGTTTTAGAAATGGCTTAATCTTCTTACAACACAACTACTGTACACACTACGTATGATCGCAGTAATGGAGTTGACTCTCACGTGGAAATTAGAAATACGCATGAATCTTTAGCTGTACCAACTCCTACTTCTTTTTAACAAATAATTAAATATACAACATTCGATATAACGCCCTATTTAGCTAGCATAAACTACTCTAAAGCGCTTTACAGTACATAGGTGTACAATTTAATACAATGGTTACAATTACCATATACATTAATCATTACAATATTGAGAAATTTGCAGAAACTGTCTTATCAGGCGCTAACTACTATTCCTATGCCACCTGGCTAAAATCTCCCTATGTGTGTATGCATAAATGTGTGCTGGAGATGTATTATGTTCTGTTTGTAGTGGGACAGAGCTTCCAACGGTATCATTTATAGTGCCACTTCACTTGAATGCTACAGCACAGATACCGCAACATCCACCCCAGACCATTGTATACCCCACCTTGGTTGTTGGAGTTGTGTGGGCAGGAGAAAAACACTTTTTCTGAATATTCCATGCGTACGACGACTTCGGGGATCGAACTCCGGCCGTCTGCTTGGACGGCAGCAGTGTTAACCACTTGACCAATACGCCCATGATCAGCTGAAAGAGTTAACCTGACAGTCGAATAAAATGTCAGTCAAATATCAATAGACGAACTTTAACTGGCCATGCCCTGGACTTGCTACCCCGTATATCAATCAGCGAATCATACGTACCCGTGCTTGAAAGTCGGTCAGCCATTTCTTAATTAAAACACTTTGAGCTTGCTAAAAAATAACTCATTGTCACCATATGTTTATTACATGATATAATCCTTTCGTATTGAGGCAGATCAATGTCAGACGGCCATTATGAAGAGTATAAATTATTGTACTTTCAGATTTCATCTGGTTACTTACTGCATATAGTGTAAGGGAGATAACTGCCTTCTTATATACTTAAACTAGACATGGTCTTGGAACAGTTTGTCATTTTGGCCTTGCAGTAGTTCGCAATGTAAAAATCACATTCGTTAAAATGTATTTTGCCCAACTTTGTCTCTTATATAGTTTATAAAACCACATTGTATCTACATTGTTATGGCTTCGTACAAGTAACCGCTTTGTACATGTGTCAATAAAAAAATCATCCGTATTTTGTTTTGACGTTTTTGAAAGAAAGGAAGGTTGCTTCTCTTTTACTGACCGTTATTTTTATTTTTTATTCAAATTTATTGTTTAATAAAGATTAATATTTCACATTCTTTTTGCTTTGCTATATTACCAATACCATACCCACTCTACAATTTTAATTTGTAGACAAGTAGGCCTTGTAATTCAGTGTGCATGTTGTCAAAAAAGTACATTACACATTAGCTAACTTTAACTGTTGCAACTTAAAAATAGACAGGTAGTTATTGCAAATGATTGCACCTGAAATTAAATGAGACTAATTAGAAAAGTTGGGTACCGCAGCGGCACGGAGCCGCTACACCTGGTATAATTCTTCTTTAGATGCATTGTTTTTATTTTTTTAAATAATAGTCCCGATTTATCATTATCATTGGTAGGAGACTCTTAAGACGTTACAGTACATACATGTACATGAATATGTTTATACATGTACATTGTATATATGGGGCAAAGAAGTAATTCCAACAGTGTGAACAAGTTCAGGTTGTCAAATTTTCGGAGCGATCAGCTCCTTTATCAAGACACAGTGGGGATTTGACCTAATGGTGCATTACTGCACAGTTGGTCTGCTATCTCGCCTGCCTGCTGCTGCTGCATGTCAGTTTGTGTGACCAACAGCCGTTGTCAGATTAATTTTGCAGATTTATACAGTATCTTAGCCATTTCATCTACTTATTCCTCCTGCACGCACTTATTTGATAATTACATGCACTATTCCTGCAAACCGAAAGAGGCGACTAAGTGAGCCCCCCCCCCCCCCCCCCCCCCCTGCTGTGACTGTTAAATCCACTGCAGCATTGAGAGACGACTAATGTGGGCAGTCCGTAGGAAATTGAGATTTTTCACATTTACCGGGCCAGATTTCCACGTGCACATGTTCCACGTTTTTGATATCTCGTCCCTTCTTTCTGGTGCTTATCTCTCGTTGACTCACTTTATGTGGGATTCTTCTCCGATTTTGGTTATCATTTGGCGGGTCGTCGTTACGTTTCATTGGGCGAGTCGTCTTAGTGCACTTTCGCTATAGAGCAGAGCCAGCGAGCGTTCTGATATTTAGACTATTAGCGTTCCTTGTCCGCGATGCTCTCAGCTTAATTGCTGCCTTCGGCTGTCTTTAACCGAGGGGACTATTGGTTTTATATAATAGCTATATTACACAGTTATAGAATGGGTATGAGGGAAATAGCACAGGTATGGTCCCCCGAGGTGAAAATCTATTTCCCGAGGCGGCGAAGCCGTCGATGAGAATAGTTTTTCACCAACGGTGACCATAAATTTGCTATTTCCCGATTTACCCATTCTATAACTGTTTTATTATAACGATACAAATTATTCACCCAGTAAAGGCAATTTAACAAATGAATTTATTTATTTATTTCCTTTTTTTACAATTTCAAAGACTGAAAGAGAAAAAAAATACAATTGGAGGTACTGTATGCATCGTCGTTGATGATATCTCATATCTAGCATTCAAGAAGTGTTTTTATAGACTGAATCTCATAGTCACCATTATTTTCCTAACATATCTAGATCTAGTCCTATCCTGGGTTTTTTAAAAGAGCTTGCATGACCCTACTCGTCTACGCCTCCGTCATTCCGTTCTGTTAAATAAGTTTGAAGTGAATTCACTGCAGTCTTTATAACAGCTTTTGTATTTAAGCTACGTTTAAAATCTCCTCTTTACAACAACAAAACGGCCTTCATCGGTGGGCATTTTCACTGTTGTCATTTGGTTCTGAAAATGTGACGTCACGAACGTCACAATGTTTTCATTGGTTGAAATCCTATAAGATCCGCCTACCAATGTTTTCATTGGTTGAAATCTTATAAGCTCAATCTACAAATATTCATGAGGGAGTAGTCCTTTTTTTGCAGGGAGTAGTCCTAATTTGGGGAGGGAGTAGCTCTCGGATGAAGATGTTTTAGTGATTTAAGGGAAATAGCAGATTTTATCGTATTGTTTCTATATAGGGAAAACTCAGTAGAGGTATAATAATTTCTCAATTATAGTATATCAGTTCTATATTCTTGTAATATGATGGATATGTACATGTAACTGTTCTGTTTCACTGTGTCTTGATAAAGGAGTGGATCGCTCCGAAAATTTGACAACCTAAACTTGTCCGCACTGTTGGAATTACTTCTTTGCCCCATATTCTATTTTAAGTAATTCGTATCCTACGGACATACCTCCATTAGGATCCAGTGGTATATGGGATTTTACCGTCTATACTACTTCTTTGAACCATACATGTATATATATATATTGAATTTTTCTTTCATGCGAGCTTGGACCATGCGAGCAACATTTAATGCGAGAGTTACCTCCCGTGGAACACGCATTATCAATATAAGAGTGCATATCGAAAAAGGTAGATTTTACTCCATAATGAGTGATAACAAAGACAATTATTTTACAAATGCGACCAGACACTAGGTATGTTTATATCTCTGGAATATAAATGATGAAGGCTGAGACGTTTACATAACGTATTAATGTTTGGTTTTTGTGTTTTACGTCCTATTAACAGCTATGGTTGGTGGAGGAAAGCCGGAGTCCCCGGAGAAAAACCACCTACCGCCGGCCAGTACCTGGCAACTACCCAACGTAGGTCTCGAACCCGCGACCCAGTGGTGGAGCGCTAGTGGTAGCAGACTGTCAGACGCCTTAACCACTTGGCCACCGCAGCCCCTAATTAATTAAGCTGGCCTTTCTATAGCATGTTATATAGTAAGTACTCCATACATGTAATAATTATCAAGTATGGACTATTGTTGAGGTGAATATGTCGTTATGTGAACCTGCTTGAGAAAGTGATATTAACCGAGATGATGTCGAGGTCAGTATCACCTTTTCAGGTTCGTATAACCACAATTTAACCAAAAATGATTCTGAATTGTTATATTAGATGCTATTTTTTTAAATCATTAACAAGGATTAAACTACATATCAAATTGGCATGAAGAACATACTGCATATGGCAGAGAGCATTGTCACGTGGGCATATTTTATTAGAGAATATATGAGATAAATATTTCTAAGATACAAAATAAAGTACGTCAACTGTCTGTTAAGAGCCACACTTCTGTTCACCAGTTTATCACCGTCTTCTTAGAGCCATACTTTTTTGTCGCCAGTGAATCACGTGTTTGTTTAGAGCCATATTTCTTGTCGCCAGTATATCACCTCTCTGCAAAAAGCAATCCTTTGTGATGACGACGTATCTTCTATGCGGACCATCTCCTACCACACAGCACTCATGTTCTATACAATCATTTTTCAAAGTACATCTCAAGATTTCCTTTACTCGCCATTTATACACCGACGGTTCTAAGGTCGATTAGAAAGTTGCTGCAGCATGCATTGCAAGTGTGCAGGATCTGTTCCCCGTGGTTGTTGGACTGTAAGTAAGTGTTTTTTTATCTAAATATCTGGTGTTCAGCAGCTTTGATGCATTTTCTTGTTATTAACATATATGGTCTTTTTTAGGACGAGCCAGGTTTTGATGGTGGAGGAAAACCAGAGTTCCCGGAGAAAAAAACACGAGCCAGCGGCCAGATGTGTACCTGGCGACTGCCAGCGTACCCAAACCCGCGACCCAGTGGTAGAGGGCTAGCGATCGTAGACTGTCAGTCGCCTTAACCTTTCGGCACCACGGTTCCTCTCATAAATAAATGAATTTTCGCAGGACATTATTATCATGATTATGTCCCTCCATCATGAATATTCATATCCGCATACAGCGATTAATATCATTTGTTCCTTTCTTTGCTAATATGAATACTAGGAAACACATACTATTTTGTTTATTTCTTTGTCCTTATGGATACTTAAATCACAAATTACTTAATTTCTATGCTTTATATATATTGTAATTACATATTACTTTTGTTCGTGTCTTTGCCGTTATGAAGGCAGAAAATATAGACACACATTTACTCATGTCTTTGCTATTATGCAAACATATTTCTTTGTTCATCTCTTCGCTATTTTAAATAGTGTAGTATCATCGTTTTAATAAATTCATGAAAAGATAATATTGACGAAGAGAATGTGAACATATAACGTTTGAGGTAAGCCTGGTTATTTAAGCATCAAACTGCCTTCTTTGGAAAGTTATTGTCCTATAATTCTCACGGGATTGCAGACAGATCGAATATGAATTCCAACCTGCTATCGCATTTCAAAGTCAAATTTCGCGATGTCTGTCAATGGGACCTGTTCTTGTGACGTCACGAGTACACGCGACCGTTCCCGGCGAAACAATATAGTTCGTGAAAATAAACACAAAATCATCCATTTTATTTCAACAATTTGATCAAAATATTCCACCGTGAGGATATTCACATTTTACACAACATAACTACACTTATTATAGTGACGTCGGTCAAAACGACGTCATTAAGTTACAACGTCACGAACATGTCACTACACCAATGGAAATTATGTGAGTATTATGATCCGAGATTTGTAGAGCAAATGGAAATATAAGATACTACATCTTCAAACGGTATCAAGAGTAATAAAAAAAAGAACAGGCGTTCTGTTTATGGTGGGAAGCACATTGTTGAATTGACAACTGTATGAAAAAATCCATCATACATGACGTTGTTGTCATTTTACTCGTTAAAGTCCGATTTTGTTAGTGATAATTGTGTTACATGTATGTTAATTTATCGACATCCAATATTAAACGAAATACATTGTCCATGTTATAATTTACACCTATTTTTACTGATTCATTTCCTATTACCCTCGATCATAAGATGGATTTTAATCTTTAAAACATATTAAAATATATTCTTAAAAACATTAAAATTATTAATCTATAATACAGTATTGTAGTCTTTTTCTGTTTGTGATACAACCTCCAGACTGTATCTCCTATCAAGAGTACCAGATTCCTTCAGATCTGACGTCATTTCCTGGTGTTTGGTATTTACATCTTCCGTAGGTTTTACTCTCAAGAACCAGTGTTTGACAAATAAAGGCTCCAAGAGTACAACAACAGTGGCCAAACACGTCATACCGCCAAGGAACCGGAAAGAGGCGTCCCAGGTCCCCGTGGCGTCCTCTATCCAGCCTACAAATCATACGATATTGTTTCATTTAAAAAATACCTAACGAACGTTTACGACAACAAACGCACGTTTGGAGATGTCGACTGCTGACGGACAAAATTAAAATACAGGATTTCATAAGATGCAGGCTGATGGAGACTATGGACAAGTGTATTGTCGTCATCAGGATTTCACAGTGAAATATGCTATATAATGTTTGTGTGATATGAAGTTCGATTTGTTTTATTATGCTCATAAGAGTGCCTTACTTTTTTGATGTCACTACCCGAATTTTCGATGCGAGGACGTGACATTATACTTGGATTCGACTTAAATTTACATGACGGGAGTCATCGACAATGCTCACCCTTCCAGAACAACTGGTATTATTCTCCCCGTACTTTTTCCTTATTAATATTTTGTCCTAATTTGTCAATTTTGTTTGGTCCTGTTCGGCATTCTCTAGGTTATTTTGGTGCCATATATACACAATCATATAACTGTGACATCTTTATTGGCTGTTTTCGTCTTTGGGTACCTATGTTCCAATCATACGTATTGCCGTTGTGAAAGGATTCCTAACACTATTCCTTGTTTTCCCTCGATACAAAATGTTTTACTTTACGAGGATAGAATAGAGAAAGAAAATAATAAAGATGATGCGGGTTACGAACTACTCTTGTCGTCTGCTTTATATATCATGTCAGTTCTACTCATTTTTCCAGATAGTTATAGGAAATATGACCGGACAAACTAGCGCGCGAGAGGGAAACACGATGTCGTCAAACATACAGACAATTCACATATATTATATGTTTCCCCTCGGTGCACGCATATGCATAATAATGTACACACGTTTATTTTGTTTTCTTTATCCAAACTTGGCTTTAGTTACTATAGTTAAGCCTATTAAATAGTGAACATCGGTCGAATCGATTCACATACACATTGGAAAAAAACATGTATGACTGGGTTAAAACCTAAGATATTTATATCACAAGCTTTTCCATTAGTGTGTCTATTTCTGTTAGATATGCAAAGGACTCCCTGATTATGGAGAGCCAAGTCAAAATAGACATGCTCTTTCATACCCAAATGTAAAAGCTTATTTTGGATAGTCAAATCCATACGCTCAAGAGTCTAATAAACATTCACTAGGTACACATATTTTCAACTACAAATTGTTTTCAGTGTAAAAGAATCATCGTGAGCATATAACTTGATACAGTTTGCATGAAGTCATTCTTATTACAGGGGAACACTATTCAACGATAAGGTAATACTGAAGTGTAAACAAAAGCTAACTTCAAATTCAAAGTAGATAAAAATATGTGCAAAATATAAACGAAGAAAAGGTTTACACGAGACCATCGACAAAAGTACAACAGGATTGAGACCGGAAGAGTAAGCATCTTCTCCTCTATCGACAACACACGTCATGATAATCTAGCTCAAATCCAAGCAATGTCATGTCCTCATACAAAGAGCAGGGTTAGTTATAAGGAAGCAGCAAGGGAAACAACTCACATGTGTTTGTCCAAACAATAGCCGACATCTATCACAAAAACCATGACATGAAAAGCAAGCTCTTCAATACCGAGTCAATCTAAGATGTGCCACTTTTTTAACCACTAGTCGCCAGAACGTTTTTGTTAAGTTTCGTAGGTGGACCTACATATATATATGATTCAAACATCGATATTAAATATATAAAGTATGAATTTATGTAAAATTAAATTTTAGGTTTATATAAATATTTTCACTATTTGCATTAAGAAGTATACTGAAAAGCGTTGTATCATGGCGATTCAGAGAAGGTTGATAAATTGTCACCTTCCGGTTTGGCAGGTGATCTGGTAACCAACTTTCAAAGAAATGATACTATTTTACCTAACAGCCTTCCTCCAAAATATACATACCTGCTATTGGTTGACAGAGAACTGCGCCGAATGACAAACATAGCATCATCAGACCAAACCCGCTTGTCAGATCCGTCAGAGGAATACACTGTAGCAGTACGACCGCCATTAATGTGAAATAACTTCCCGGAAACACACCTACCATCCCAGCATATACAGCGACAGCAGTGAAGTCTTTAAAGAATGGTATCACCATGGTGGAAATAGCGCTCACAACAAACGTCAATAAGAGCAACTTTTTCACGCCGATTATTTTGAGATCCACAATCCAACCAAAGAAGAGTTTGCTGATTATTTCCATTGCTCCTGTGATTGAGAGCGCCATAACAACCTTTCCTTTACCGTGACCTAGCGCTATGATATGGGCCGGAAGTGCAGTGAAGACTCCTATGTACGCAAATGTATTTGCTGTATACGCTATAGCATACATCGCAAATTTTGGATTACGAAATAAGGAGAAATTGAATAAGCTGGAAAGCGATAAAGTTGGTCGATTTAATTTCTTGTTTTTGCTATCCCCTTTCATTTCCAGTTGTCGTTCATTGTATTGCAATAAAGTATTTTCCTCACTTTCTTTGTCGATTTCTGCGGTTTTTTGAACGACTCCATCTGTATTGGTCTTAATGTTGTCAATGTCACCATTATTTGCTTTCTTGAACTTTTGTACAATTTGAGAAGGCTGTTTTAGAAGCATAGCGAAGACACAGGTATTTAATAAGAAACCACCAATTATCATGAGCGCACCCTGGATCCCGTACATGTCTATTAAAAACCTGTAAGCAATTGGAAACAGAAAACTACCCAGTCCTCCTGTTGATATCATTATACCACTTGCCAATGCCCGTCTCTTCTCAAAGTAAAAGCTTACGATTGTGTTCGCTGGAGAAAATGCCAGTCCTCCACCCACACCTAAAATGAATGCAAACCAAATATAAAGGAAAGCTGTCTGAAGTCTGTACTCAATTTAAAGAGCAGGAAAATGAGGATGCAAGTCTTCTTACTAAGGAAGTACATCGTTAAGGGATAACGAGAAGTATTTTAAATGACCATTTCATCTCATTCAACAAAGGACTAGGGGCGTTCAGGGGCGTTTCCGGCATCATCACAGGGATTTAAGTTGTTATATTCGTTATCTGGAATAAATGAAGTACGCAAATATGATATTTCAAATTCATTCCACAAATGGTTTAGGAGGTATGGCATTAAAAAGAGACATAAACCCGTATTTTCATAATAAAATGAGAAAATATTGTCTGGTGTGCGCTATTTTGTCGAAAATATGTCATTTTGAAGGAAATTAACTGAACACTTTTCATTTTTTGAAAGCCTCTGCATGCACCAAACAAAAAAATATTTGGCATGCTTTAACATTGTCATACCAGTGCTCATTCGTAGAGAAGAATTTTGGTTTGTCACATGCAGAGGCTGTCATTTCTGAACGCTAACTGTCCAAAAACACCATATTTTGGCTATTTCTGCATAGCAAGGGAATCTTGTTGCTATGGTAGGGCATGTACGCATGCGCATTGGAATAAAATCTGATTTAAGAAAAATAGACCCAATTAACAAATATGATATTCATAACAGAAATTGGTAAAAAAAATCAAGTTGAATGTTTTACTTTATACAATGTATGACGCCAAATATGACTCATAACGCCCTACCTTTCGTTTGTTTTAGCTTTAATGGCATTGCAACAGAAAAGGTCAGTTGAAGACTGTACCTATGAATATGCCGCGGAAAGAAAGAGCAGCGAAATTATGAGAAGAAAAGATACAGATGTCAAATTTTGTAATCGGGGAAGTAGATCAATATTTTGCAAATCTCCCCTTGTAATGGTACACTGTACACAGAAGATAATTCCCGTTTCTACAAAGGGGTGATGGTGGGGGTAGGGGGCTGGGGGTCGGGGGGTTGGGGGGGGGAATGGGTCGACTCTTACGACAGCATGCAGTGGGATACAGCAGGCCTATTGGTTCTCCAAACCTGCATGGTTTATAAGCACACTTACCGTTTATTAGACCTATGGTTAAATAATGAAGTTCCATAAAAGGCATGAATGCACTGGCGAACACCCCAATTCCATGCAGAAGTCCTCCGAACAACACCACCTTGCGGAACGTGAACACTTCTGACAGACGGTTCCCTATTGGCCCTAAAAGACCAAAGCAGGAACAAAGTTTCCAAGATGAACTATAACCAGGAAAGGGATGTACGAAGGTGAATAAAGAATTTAAAAATGGCACAGATAATAACTGGAACCGTAATTGTTTTAGAAAAAAATAAATATCAAGGAACCCTTTTTTTCCTTTAAAAAATATTTATACATTTCCCTCACTTTATCGCCAAACCCTTGATAACACCAACATTTCTCTTAACAAATGATGACAGTATAACGCGGATTTAATGTAATTCAAAATACTTAAACTATAATGTGCTCCTCAATATTTTCAACGTAACCGATGTTCACAAATGATGGTCATCTACTTAAGTAGTCTGTTTCTTACCAGAGGATACATGCATCAAATGGCCAATGGCAAACTCGTTCTTCAATATCAAGATATCTTGCGGAAACCAATTTTAACGCATCTGCATATCATAACAACATTACGATTGTAATTATTATTAATTAATTAATTAATTAAATAATGTGTAATTATAAGCCGATCACTCTGCTGTTCCTGGAATGTCTGTATCATATCGAAATAAACCATTGTAAATCTTTATACAAATCTGTTTAAACCAGATGTCCGACGGATATTTGTTTTTTAAGTCCTGTTCGATGTTACATGTACTAGTGATGACTGTAAGCCTGTGTACTCATCTTTCTAAAGTTGTACAGTTGTTATAAATTTGTTCGAGCTTCGAAAAATGTGCTTTAGTACAGAAAAAGTTACTGTTGAGCTGTATGTTTTCCAAAGTGTGTGTCGGCAAAACACGGCCACACTTTACGGCATATTCAATATCTATCTAGGGTTAACACCGTTAATGGTGTTGTAAGAAAAAACCCATAAAATAAAACAATGAAAAAACACAAAGAAAAACGCCAAACTACTTATGGGTTATTAAACGTCAAAACGTATCGTCATTCAGTAGCATTACGATCATTAGTGTGAGCCCTGCTTCTTAGAATTATCCCCACTTTATCCACATTCTAATGTGTTAATATACAACAGACTGCTTTATTACACAACTGTGTGGACGTAAGTAGATACGAGTATTCTCTACCAATAATGTAAGTAACTGGGGATAGCTTAAACCGCACGTATCTGCACATCTACAAATACTATTAAGCAATGTTGAGTTAAAGTGTCAAAACACTTCGGAATACATAACTCTGTTCAAGTATTCGTGTTGAATAACTTTTCGGTCTCCGTATTTTGATTCATCTTACCCATAGCAAAGAAGAGTAAAGAGTTGACGCTGCCTATCCACGCTGTTTGTCCAGATCCGGACCCGTAGTACAGCAAGAACTCGGTGTAGAGAACACTATATGCTTTTGCAGTTCCACCAAGAAGCATGTAAATGCCCGACGAAGCTTGAAATAGTGAACAAATATAACACGCAATAAAAGAATATTCACATAGAGTATAAATTTAAAAATCAACAATTATATTTCTTACTGATTGCACTATATTATACGAAATTTAACAAACAAAAAGATTTACTACAATATGTACTGAATAAGATTTAATTTTAATTGAATTAAGCGTCCTTATAACAGTTAATATCGTTTTTTAAGACGTTTCTTTACGTGTACAGTGTATGCGTGTATTCTGTATGCATGCTGATGTCTCTATTTTTGTGCGATAGTGTAGATCTGATGCGAAGTTTAGTGTGCTCATTGAAATACCCTGCCAAAAAACACCCAGCACAGTACTCCACCTGATCAAATTATCCTGATCATGGGTTAACTAGTTGTCGCCATTACCTTACATTTAAATGCTGGTGGTTACCAGTGAACAACAACTACTTGTTATGGATTTCGGGTTGTCCTGGTTTGGGAAAGAGTCCATTGCCTTCACCAGAAAGTCTAACGTTCTGATGGATGGCGTTACTTCATATTTCGACAAAACGAAATCATATTCCTCGTTGTCAGCTTCATTTCCACCTAAAGAATGGCACTAATGGTAACCCGACTATCATCCTCTAAAGAGGACGTTACGCCATTTACTTTCCTTCTCTCTGAGAAAAAAACAACTTCTCATCCTGACTTTTGATTAACCTTTGGCCTTACGAGGTCATGGTTCAACGCTCAACGGACTAATAGTCCTCGAGGTCAAATGTAAACTTTTAGCTGGAATTAATTCTGTCATGGTTTATACGTGTATTTAGTTCCAGTTTAAGAATAAACTATCTGAGAACTACTGCTCATCGGGTGGTTCAGTTGGTTTGATCGGCCCTTTTTGATTAGACACCTGGGGTTCGAGTTCTTGTCTGGTCCAGTTTTAGTTTTTCTTCCAGGTTTTTTTATCATCGATGTTGTATTTTTTTATAATTATTAAACTAAACATGGTGTTTTTTCAAGAAATGATTTATATTAAAGCTATAACCTTGCCAGAAATATAATAATAGCATTAAGGTATTGAGAGTCCCTGTCACATTTCACTGCAGTTATTCTTACATTAACTTCCCTTAATTTCCTTTTGGCATTTTGTACAAAATTGACTATGTTGAATAAGGCAATTTCCTTTTACCAAATTATTTAGGCCATTACGTAGCCTGATATTGAAAACATGAAGAATAAACATAATATTTAGAATGGAAATGGTATGTGTTTTTGTCTCTACTTATTTATTGATAAAGAACCGTTCTCTTCAAAGAACTTCAAATCAAAGAGAGATACATCGTGTATATCCCTACACCTTAGTCAATTGTGATAAGTCAAAGGTGTCAAGGTCTCACTAAGTATGTTGTCAAACACAGACGGGTGTACGCTACACTTTATTTCAATTTATCTTATCGAAAATGACCATGTGGTCCTTACCATTATTCTACAACTATTGAAAATAGAAAGCTTACTGAATGACATACCAATAATATCGCACTGTCAGAATATGATTATACACAGTAACAAAAGGTTTTATATAACATCACATTATTTTGAAAATAAATTTCAAAATCCATAAAAATGAAAGCTGGGAACGATCAATATCTAAATTAATAAACATATTTTGACATGTATAAATATGTTATGTTTTTAATATATGTTATTTGTATATTATGTTGGTGCTACATGTATGTACTTTTGTACTACATACCAACATTGAATGTATGAACATGTTTGTCAAAACTGGATAAGTAGGCATCCTTAAATCAGACTGTTTTACTTACCGATGAGAACTATCCACGAATAGCCAGAATCCATTGGAGTCTCCTTAATATCGCGCCGTTGCGACGTTTTCATTGTTGTTCACTGTAATAATTAGTCGTTATGTATTTAAAAATTGATCCAGGTGTTTTTCACCAATTATTTTGCCATTCGTCTTATGTATATTGTGAGTCAAAGAAGTAATATCAACGGTAAAATCCCATATAACAATAGATTCGTACAAAAGAATTTTCGAAGAATGGGACAAGGGAATAATTCCAACAAAGCAGACAATAGAAGGTTGTCAAATATTCGGAGCAATCCGCTCCTTTATTGAGACATAGAAACATACCAATCAATGACATAACACAAAAACAAAACAGAAATATAATAGGATATAACTGATATTGAAAAACAATAAGCCCTTTGGCTAGCATGAATTACATTTGACAATATCATTATAGCTTTCTTCCATGCCCACATACATGTATATCTATATAGAATGTTTTACCGACAGTCTCGTTTTCTACTCATTTTTAATATTCCTTAAGATGTGCTTGTGAATCTGTCAAAATCATTATATACCAACCATAAATGTTGACATAAACAAATTGTTTATAAATAAGATAATCTTGTTAACATTAAAAATTAGCAAATATTCGGATGAAATTTCCAATTGTCCAATGGATTGCTATAGGTTCTGTTAAATATTGTGTCTCCCGTCATACAAACAACATATACCGTTATACTAGGATTTACAGTAACAGGAAGATGTTTAGATGGAATCACACCTGTAAATATATATATATATATATATATATATATATATATATATATACAGTAGATAGTAAATAAATAAGTCCTTGCGAAGGAAAATATAGAATAAAAACAAAAATTCCAGATCGTCCGCTAGGCCTTTCTGCCTTCTAGGGCTTCTTTAGGGTTTGACTCCTAGCAAAGGCATTGATAAAACATGAAACATCAATCCGCCTAGCGGACGATCTGGATTTTTTGTTTTTATTCTATATATATATATATATCTGTCGTTGTTGATATATAGATGGTAAGATCATATGTCCTTACCTACTGTTTAGCAGGTAGAGATGGGAACACACCTCCATTGTTTGCCTTTGTTAACGAAATATGGACTGTAACGGAATATCATACTCACCTCTCTGTTTGCAGGTACAGGTGGATATTTGCCTGTTGTTGCTGAATAACTGACTGTAACATGATATATCAACAACTACTGTTGCACAAGTGTATATGGAGACACGTTGATATTTATCGGTACTACTATAAGAAGTAGCATGTCATGTCCAGTTTTTGGACAGGTACAAAAAGAACCACGCCTTTTATTTGTCATCTGTTGATGATGTACTACAGACTTAAACTATTATGTTTTCACATCTTGTTATACAGGTGCCGATGACCTATTCACTTACATGGTGAACAGGCGATGCTTATGTCACCCTGGTAAAATACCAGCCGCTTCCTACCGCCTCGGCTAGGGAGATTTTTCATTTTGCTCATTTGGTAGAGCGTAAGACTAGAGGTCCCGGGTTTGACTCCTAGCAAAGGCATTGATAAAATAATAACCCGTTACATTAGCGCCCACGTAGGGACCAAGGTAAAACTGACAAATCTAATCAGAGATACTTTCACAAGAATCTCTATGACCCCTGGAAAACTCGGGACGAGTTCTTTCCTGGAGGAGGAGTATGTCACCCTGGTAGAATACTAGCCACTTCCAACTGACTCGGCTAGGGATATTTTCTCTTTAGCTCATTCGGTAGAGCGTAACACTAGTAAGCCAGAGGTCCCAGGTTCGATTCCTAGCGTGGGCATTGAAAAGAGAATGACCTTTGTTACACTTACATGCTTTACATTAAAAATGTTGATCAGGTACTTACGAAATAAAACATGAACAGCTACCTGTTGGTAAGCTAAATATGGTAATAAACTATAACATAATGTGTTGTTGTACAGGTGTTACAGCTAAACTACAGATTGAAATAGACATGATGAAGTACATATTAAAATACACATGAAAGACCCTACACAATTAACCACTGACCTTGGCTATTTAATTTGAACAACATGAAACAGACAATTAAATAAACTACATACATAAAACCATACACATAAAAATATTTCACCTGCGCAAACTTGTAATTTCAAAGTAGAGGGAGGGAACAAGTGTAAACGAAGAGCTATAACTGTTAATTGTCTTGTATATTTAATTGCATCACATTGCTGACGATAATTTTACTTAATCAGCAATTTATCACATGCCTTAGGATACATTGCTTGCTTGTTATAATATAACACTGTATTTTACAAATTGCCATTAAATGAAATATTTTAAATAGTGATCTTACCTGTTTCAGCAGAAACTGATGGTGAACACTTAGTAATACGAGGTTCAGGATTAAAATCTTTGTGGTACTTATTTCAATATATTTGATATATTCCAAAGTGTGATGAATATTTGTATGGATAGTCATCCGTTTGTCTAATGAAATGTATTGACATGTACCTACATGTATCGACCTACCGCAAGACGTGGTCAGATTGTAAACACTGGTCATCTCTTTATGCCGAGGCACATATCTCTCATACACTTCTGTAATGGGCTCGCATATTTCTGTGTTAATTTAGTACTACTACTATCAACGCCTTAGTAGCACGGGATTTTATAACAGTTTAACTGAATACACACTCACACACACATGAGATGAATTACGCTGCATCATACAGCTGTTTCGTCCTTCTAGATCCAAATTGCGAACGTCGAATTTGCTAACAAAGGGAAATATGCCATTAACATCAGTAATAACCTACATGTAAATCACAAGTCCGTTAAAGCTTACTTTAAATGCCACAGTGTATACGGTAAAAAGCGCCCCTCAATTATGTCCTGTTTTAAGCAACTTCTTCCAAGCTTTTCAGCCAAAAATCATACTCTACAGTAGCTGAATTCTGATGACTTGAATTATGATATGATTGATGATTGATCTCCATAAAATTATGCTCCAGCTGGAAACATAATAATAGGCAATCTGGGTATTATCCATAGTGCTGTAAGTATCTACGTACGCCTCTCATGTCACAGCTGTATGGTGCGTTGTAATTAATTTTACACATACTGTATCGGTGGAATAATTTAAGCGGTGCAATCACCTGTGTATGTGCGTGTTAAGTTGATCTGTCAGTCAACTGAAATGTGAATTTTTAAAATACTGATAGATTCCTGAAAGAGAAAACGATAGCATGTTCTACTTATTATATCTGGTCCACGAAAGGAAATAGTACATCCTGTAGCTAAAGATCCAAAAATGAAACCAAAATACAGGTGAGCATGTCTTGACCCGGTTTTCCAGACCTGACTACTCACCTACATATATCTGCATGATATGTATGTACTTGTGACGGCGGAAAATAAAATCTTAAAAGTTCATCTTTGTCCCCGTAGGAAGACCAATCCAGATATTTAGAATACGAAAAGCATACTTAATTGGATCCGCTTGCATAGCGGGCTATACGTGAATATGTCATGTCTGTGATTCAAAAAAAAATAAAAAATAGAAGGAACAGATGAAAACAAAAGAGTCAGTATTTATTGACTCCTGTTTCCAATCCACACTCAACAATCTGCATGATAAGTATGTAGTGATTGTAGCAGAGAAAACATCGCCCTGTCACTGTCGTCCTTTTAAGAGGGGGATTGGTTATATTGGAGGCACGGTAGTCTAGTGGTATGACGCCGAACTCGTGACCGAAGGGTTGCGGGTTCGAGTCACGGCACGGCACTGTGTTGTATCTTTGAGCAATATACTTTACTCCGCTTGTTTCAGTCTACCCAGCTGTAAATGAATACGGGGTTGGGCAGTACTGGAATTGTTGAATGCTGGCTTATACATGTAGCGCCGAAATGGCAGCTTCGGCTGTATGCTCCCCAGGGAGTTGAGAAAGTTATTGGCTTGTTGCAAAGGCCCTATAACCACGGATTATAATTTGTGAACCGCATTAAGACGACCTACACACAAGGTTGTGATAAAGCGGTATATAAGAACCTCGAATTATTATTATTATTATCATTACAAGCTAACCGGTAATAAGATTTATATATATACACTGATGTTCTATTTATAGTAAGTGACCTTTACCTTTGATATCAAAGGCTGAAAGCTATCCAAAGCTGAAGCAAACATTTTATTACACCGGATAAAGTCGGAGTGCATACGGCCCAAAAGAGCTCCACATATTGTGCATAAAATGATTTTCTATTTATAGTAACATTAACCTTGAAATTTGACATCGATGCCTCAAAAGCTACAATTTGTATTCTAAGCAAATACTTTCTAAAGTAACAATGACCTTAACCTTTCACCACCAAAGCAGGCACTTTCTCTGAAGTAGCACTTGAGAAAGCCTGAGTGTAATCATCCCAACACAATTGGAAATATTGTGCCTTAACTAATTTTCTATTCATGGTAACAGTGACCTTGACCTTTGACCGCCGGACCTGAAAAGCTATTCATAGCAAACACTTTCTTCAGAAAAGCACTGGATAAAGTCTGAAAGCAATCCAACCAACATTACTGAAGATATTGTGCACAAATTAAACAAGAAGCCCAATGGGCCTGTGTCGCTCATTTGCTTCTAATGCAAATTTGAAGCTGATCTAGGTAATTTATGTGGATGCTAAGCTCATTTTACCTCATTTAACCCTTGTGACCTGGAAAAGTCGGGCAAGGTCACTCATTTGAACAAACTTGATAGCCCTTCACCCCAGCACGCTACAGGCCCAATACCAGGTATCTGGGCCTCTAGGTTATTGAGAAGATGTTTAAAGAGACTAGAAAAGGTCTGTAAGACATAAATGCCCCCGCTGTCATGTGAAATTAGTTCTATAAAAAGTTACAACCACTTTGATCTTGATAACCTGAAACATGGTACTACACTTTAAGTTGATTTTAATATTCTTATGTTTTTTCTGTATGTTATTACCCTCTCCAAAACATATTGAATGAAGTTGCTAAGTGTTTAAATTAAATCAGTTGATGATTTTCTATATATAGCAACAGTGACCTTGGCCTTGACCTTGGAACCCTGAAACACAACAATGTCCGAAGTATACTCATACGTGACCTTTGCATAAAGTTTGACCAAAATCCATGAACGAATGAAGTTGCTAAGAGTTTAAATTGAATCAGTTGTTGATTTTCTATATATAGCAAGTGACCTTGGCCTTGACCTTGGAACCCTGAAACACAAGGGTATACCCATATTTGGCCTATGTATAAAGTTTGACCAAAATCCGTGAAAGAATGAAGTTGCTAAGTGTTTAAATTAAATCAGTTGATGATTTTCTATATATAGCAACAGTGACCTTGGCCTTGACCTTGGAACCCTGAAACACAACAATGTCCGAAGTATACTCATACGTGACCTTTGCATAAAGTTTGACCAAAATCCATGAACGAATGAAGTTGCTAAGAGTTTAAATTGAATCAGTTGTTGATTTTCTATATATAGCAAGTGACCTTGGCCTTGACCTTGGAACCCTGAAACACAAGGGTATACCCATATTTGGCCTATGTATAAAGTTTGACCAAAATCCGTGAAAGAATGAAGTTGCTAAGTGTTTAAATTAAATCAGTTGATGATTTTCTATATATAGCAACAGTGACCTTGGCCTTGACCTTGGAACCCTGAAACACAACAATGTCCGAAGTATACTCATACGTGACCTTTGCATAAAGTTTGACCAAAATCCATGAACGAATGAAGTTGCTAAGAGTTTAAATTGAATCAGTTGTTGATTTTCTATATATAGCAAGTGACCTTGGCCTTGACCTTGGAACCCTGAAACACAAGGGTATACCCATATTTGGCCTATGTATAATGTTTGACCAAAATCCGTGAAAGAATGAAGTTGCTAAGTGTTTAAATTGAATCAGTTGATGATTTTCTATGTATAGCAAGTGTGACCTTGACCTTGATCTTGGATCCCTGAAATACAACATTTTATGAAGTTTACTCATACTTGACCTTTGTATAAAGTTTGACCAAAAGCTGTCAAAGAATGAAGTTGCTAAGTGTTTACATTGAATCGGGATGCGACGCGACGGGACGCGACGCGACGCCGGACGCCGCACCAGGGTAAAAGCTCACTTGTCCGTGGCAGGTGAGCTAAAAACATATAGAAGGACAGACAGACAGAAAACCTGATTACTATAGATGTGCAATGGTCCTAACATCAAATTGTGAAATTGAATTGGAGAATCCCCCTTTGGGACCCCACTCCTCCCCCTAGGGAGCCTGGGTATCATGAGAGAGACCCTCTTTATACGGCATTCAGTCTTCTTAACCGAGTAATGCTCCAAACCATTAGTTTGAAAACATCATCAAGCCATACAGAAGGACTTCAAAGGATGTACTGTATTAGGTGATTTTTGTCCTCGCAACAGCCAGGGTCATATGAGGACGGCTGTCAAGGAGACACCTATAGAAGAAAACTACAATTCGAAGGAAGTGCAAGCGTTGACGGAAAAAATGCAATTACTAATAAGAATTACCTATGTGCAAAGGGCTATAACTCCAGAAAAAATACAACATTGACACTGGATTCTAACTCAAACTGTAATACAATATACATGTATACTATAAGTTACAAATAATATGGAAAACAGTTAATTATGAGAATATCCTATGTGCAAATGGGCCATAACTCCAGTCAAAAATGGAATTTTATTATATGGTTCAAACTCTGTAATCTATTATTGATAAAGCCACAAACAAAGTTTCAAATTGATATGGCAAGCGGTAGCGAAATAAGTCCAAAAAAAGTTTATTTTGATAATTTACTATGTGCGAAGGGCCATAACTCCAGCAAAAAAAGGAATATTAACACGAGGTTCGAACTCAAACTGTAATCCATTATGACAAAGCCACATATTAGGTAACAAATTGATGTTGCAAGTGGTAGCGAAAAAAAGTCTGGGAAAACATTAATTATGAGATTTCTTATTTGCAAAGGGCCATAACTCCAGCAACATATGAAATATTGACACAGGGTTTGGACTTTTACTGTAATCCATTATGACAAAGCCACTTACTATTAAAGTGGCAAGTGGTAACGAACAAAGTATGACACAGTTAATTATGAGAACTTCCAACGTGCAAAGAAAAGGCCATGCATACATGTAACTCCAGCAAAAAATAAAACATTGGCACGTGGTTCGAACTTGATCTGTAATCTATCATGATTAAGCCACACACAAAGTTACAAATTGATATGGTAAATGGTGGCGAAAAAAAAGTCTGGGAAACTTAAATGTGACTGCCGCCGCCAACGACAACGGACAGAGTGATCCTTAATTGTTCGCCATGCTTCTCAGGCGGCACGACAAAGAAAGGCAGAACAGTGAAGACAGAAAGGAAAGATTTAAGAT